ATTATTATTATTAGAATATTAAAATATTAGTAAAATATATATTAATATATATAAGACGTTATCATACCTTGTATCTTGGGGAGCGTCTAACTTCTGCACAACGACAAATAAAATTGCATCCATCCTAGAACATGGGAAAAGAAAATTTCATACATTGTGGTTCAAAAGCTCTGTTTCTCAATRGTGTATAATCATTTTAAAAACTCATTAATAATTCATGAAGGAAACACAATAGAAATCATGACCATGAAGGAGGTTTTATATCTGATATAGATTCGTCTTTATTTGCATAAACTTTAACTTGGATTTTCTCTATCAAACTTGGTTCATTTCGTAAAGAATTCGGTAAAGTATGAGAACATACATCAGGAGTTTTTTAAGCCATTTAATAAACCCACAGATCGTGTTTTATCGGGTCTAAAACCACTCGGCTACGCCTTGTGTTTTATACCCGATAAAACACTCCTGCTCATTTATTAAACAGTACATATCTCATCATCTACATTATCCTTTATGCCTGTGTAGCATGTAGGGCAAACATCAAGGCCAGCTATAATTTGTGTATACTTTAATCTTAATTCAAGAAACTTGAAATGCAATGATGTAATATAAGAAGTTCTGAGAGTAGGGTTGGCGAAATGTCTGTCTCCATTRTTATAAAAGAACACTAACTCATATCCATGATATTATTCTAGATTTACTTACTGCTTGCAAGTTTCCAAATGCTCTCCACATGTTAAAGTTCGGTATTTGCTCAAATCCCTTTGCTCCAGCGACAAAACGCTGATATAGGAAGCCAAGCACAAGGTAGACAGATACCACAATAAGGAAACTGGAAAAAGAGAAAACCATATTTATTGATGTCTTTTAAGTATAATCACTATTTTTTTAACAGAAATAGTGCAAATCTCCAAAAAGAAGTCTTTGGCTTGTAACAGTATATGATCTCAAAGGTATTTTTATGGATCATGGGATTGTAGTATGTTAGAAGAAGGCTCATTTTTAGTAAGAGCTGGTTTATGGGGTAAAACTTTTGTTAAAAATACCCTGGGGCAATTTTTAGATTGCATTTTGTGACTTATGTAAAATACCATATTTAGCATTGTGAACTCTGTAACCAGCAAAGAACTGTTCTATTTGAGCTTTAAATCTCTCTACCAAAGAGCTTTAGTTGTGATATTACTGCTTTTTCATAACATGCAAACTTGAATTGGTAGTTGCGATATGCCCATTGGGATTTAATTTTTTACTGCCATCAGTCAAAAATATGAAAGGTACTGACCGATTATTTTGATTAATGGTAGCAAAAAACAAATTTCAGCATGCAGCTCGCTATGAAATTCGCATGTTTATGTAAAAAGCATTTGCATCATTGTTCACAACTAAAACTAAATATGCTTAAATATATAAGACCCCCAAAAAGGTAAATCTTGGAAAAACACTTTGCATTCTTGGTTTGACCTGTTGCCCTCATCAAAAGTTGGAATACTAATTTAGAAGCTGATCTTTGTGACAGGAGGAAAACCAGGGTACCAGGAGAAATACTCTAAGGGGTACCCTCTGAAACACAGGAGAGAACAAACTATAGAGACTCCCTTCACAGTGACATTGATGAGAGGCAAAACATTTAAAAAAATAATTGACTAGAGCAGCAGTAAGGGGGACTCGCGAAGCGCCGGCATTGCCAAAAATCACATATCGAAAAAAACCCACGGGGGGGGTGGGGTTTTTGGAGCAGTGACGAGGCCCTACAGGGGGTCTTGCGCGATCGGGTGGCAGCGCGATAAGTCCCTTACTGCTGCTGTGTTGGGTACCGCAAACGGAGGTTAAGATATTTGTCGGATATACGATGCATGAATGCACCAATGACTTCTGTGTGATTTGCCTAAGATTCAAAGTTAATATTCCAAAACCCAAGGGTTTCTGGTGTTGTGGTAAAAAAATGCAAATAGAAGACGACACGTCAGCACAGTGTTACGAGTGTGGTAAGAATATTCGTAATGCCGTACCAAATGCTACCAAAGAGCAGTATTACGCAAACGGAGGTCGTACGAAGACCCCATACAAGAGAATAAAATACTTCCGAGACTGGATGAGTCATATCCAAGGTTT